GGCGCTGCGTCGTTGGGGGCTCTCCCGGCGCCTGCCCTCAGCCCTCCCGGAGCGCTCCCCTAGAGCTCCTGCAGCCGCTCAAAAGGCAAGGGGTGCAGAGTAGGAGACAGGGCGGGAGCCCCTCGGGCTGAGAGAACCCCTAGAAGCATCAGCCGCCCCGCGCGCCTCACTGAGTTCCTGGCTCCCTTTCCCTCCTCCGTTCCGCCGGGAAAGCTGCAGCGAGAAGGCCCGAGGGACTGACCCCTGGAAGGGACAGGCGCCCCCTCCGTGGGCCACGGGCCCCTGCCTGTCCCCCGCCCCCAGCTCCTCCAAGCTCTGCGACTTTCTGAGCTGTTCTTCGGAATTCTGTGCGTCTCTGATGCTTTGTCCTCCCGCCCCCGCCCCCAGGAATCTCCTGCAGCAAAGACCCCCAGCTTTTCTCCCCAAGAGGGACCTGAATCCCACCCCCCTCCCATGACTCCACCTTATCCCTCCATCCCCCCATTTCCAGCCCCGATTTGCCCCCCAAGCCTGGCAGACATGAGAGTGGAGGGGGCCTGGCTACCCCCTACTCTGCAACAGCCTGGACCCCTCCCCACGAGTAGGTAACCCAGGCCTCCTGCCTCTCTGGGGCCTCCAGGCCTGCTCAGGGCCAGACCCAATCAATCTTCAGAGCCAGCCCCAGACGAGGAAACGGCTCACCCCACCTGCCACCACCTTCTCACAGGCTCTGGGGACAGATCATCTTTTATTTTTTCTTCCAGGACAGAATAAAAATACCCGCAATGTAGGATATTTAATAGACGGCAAGGAATCAGGTCAGGACACGGAGGTGCCTCTTTCCTCCCCTGACCTACTTGGTTCTTGTGACGGCAAGGAGCTGGGGCGCTGGAGAGTGGGAGACGGGGTGAGGGGGCACCCTGGCTTCTAGTGGGCTGGGGCCTAGGGACTAGAAAACGTCAGAGAGGAAGGGTGTGAACGCTGAGCGCCATTGGAGAAACTTTCCAGGAGGAGGGATACAGGTGGGGACAGGAGAAGGTACACTGTGGGATGAAGAGGTAGATTCCGTGGCACTGAGGTTAAGAAAAAAAAAAAAAAAAAAAAAGACCTAAGAAAGGGAACAACTAAAGGCTCTCTAATCTCTTACTCCTTCCGCCGGGCCCAGACTCCCAGAGACTACCTCCTCCAGCCCTAAACCCAATGTCCGCTTACCATGGAACAAAGCAAGGCCGGTCTGTAAATTCTTCTTGATGTCTAATTTAAATCCCAACTTGGCGGACTCTCAAACAGGATCAGATAGGCAACTGCCTCCAGCTGCGGCTTCTTGCTGCCCTCAAGTGGCCACGTGACGAGCCACAACCCTCTCGTCCTGTGGGTTTCCTCTTTCCCGGGCCTGCCCACCCCCTGTCTCCGACCTCCTGCCTTCCCTGAGGTCAAGGTGAGAGGTCCCGGGACGGATTCCAGTTCCAGCCCCGGCGTCTTTGCACATTCCTCCATCTGGGGTACCTCGTGGTCTGTCTTACAAGAAGAGCTCAGG